ATATATATATATTTTTTTTTTTAATTTCTTAAATTCAAAACTTATATTTTTAGCCTCAAAATATATAAAAAAATATTATTTTAATCACTAATATTAATTATAATTGATAATTACAAATTAAGAAATATTAAAATAATATTTTTAACATTTTAAAATCAAAGAAACAAATATCTAATTTGAAGGATCAGAGCAGCATTTTTTAAAATTATAGAAAGTATAATCACAAATTTTAATTTTAGAAAGAATATAATTTTTTTAAAAGAATTAAAATATATTTAAACCTTAATTAATCTTCCGTAAAACATAGTATATCATTACAAGAAAAAGAAATTTTAAGCAAATTTTATTTTTCTGTGGAGTGGAAGGAGAGAGATCGAAGAGAGCACCAACCATTGCATGGCACGTGGGCATGGAAGCAAAGTGAAACCAATGAGTGATCTTGGTTATGCATCATCATCATCCACACAGTGCTTATGACTATGAGGCACTCTTGTTCATCATTCTCAACCAAGCGATAACGATAAAGAATCTTATGGCTATGGAGGTCTCACCATACATTGGCAACAACACCAGTGCCTTCATCTTCTCTGCCACACCACAAAACTCTCCCATGCTTGTCAAATCCATGGCCACTCCCAAGCCTCTTCCTTCAGTCTCTAGAACTGTAGGTTCTAGAAAGGTCAGTGCAACACTCGAACAGACACACATGCATTACTTTTGTTTAAGTAGTTTGCTATGAAGAGTGAGACTTACTATATGTTGTCTTTTTTAATACTAAAATAATGAAAAAGGGTGTTGTGAATTTTCCTGTTTTGAACCGAAAGTTAGAAAAGAGAATGGTTGTTAGCTCTTAAATTATTGTAGGTCGGTTAAATATATGTATCAAACTTGCTTACACAATGATTCTCTCTGTTCAAATGGTATGTGAAACCTGTCTCTAATGTTTGAACTTGACCACCTAGGAAAGGAAAGACAAGGATCTGTTGTGAATTACTAGTTTTGAACAAAAAAATTACATTGTAAAAAACATTGTAATGGTTATTAGCTCTTAAAATATTGTAAGTCATTGCAATATGTTTATATATATCTGCATATATGTATTGAACTTGTTAACAAAATGATTCTTTTTGTTCAAATGGTTTATTATGAAGAGTGGAAACTGTCTTTAATGTTTAAACTTGACTACTAAGAAAGAAAGCAACGGATCTGTCGTGAATTAACTGTTTTTGAACCAAAAGTTACAATATGAATAAAAGACATTGTAGTGGTTATTAGCTCTTAAAATATTGTAAGTTAGTGTAGCATGTATTTATATATTTATGTGTTAACTTGCTTACATACTGATTCCTTTTGTTTAACTCGTTTATTATGAACTATGAAGAGTGAAACCTGTTTCTAACATTTGAACTTGACCACTTAAATAAAGCAAAGGCTCTGCTATGATTGTGAATGACCTGTTTTGAAGCAAAAATCACATTCTGTTTTGATAAAATTTTTCATAAGTACTTATAGGAAAAGAAATTAGAATAAGAAAATGAAATAATAGTTATCATTAACTTCTTCTTAAGTTAAAACTTAACTTTCATATTGTTCTTCTCCTAAGAGTGTTTATAAAGAAGTCAATTAAGCCAGATCCAACAAATAAAGCATTGTAATGGTTATTATCTCTTGAATAGTACTTCTTCAAGAAAGTTTCCAACATATGAAGGAACACTAGGTTTAGTGGCATCATGGCATGACATAATTGAAAACATTTTCATTTTTCTGTTCACAACAGTAACTAAACCAAATTCACAATGCAGAACTCAACTGTGTTCCCACTTGGGGAACAACCTAGGAGCAGTCCTGTGACAGCCACCCCTCCCATAAAGCTTCTGACAAGGATGGAGCAGCTGAAGCTGCTTAGCAAAGCAGAGAAGGCAGGGCTGCTATCAGCAGCAGAGAAGTTTGGGTTCTCTCTTTCAGCAATAGAGAGGTTAGGACTCCTCTCAAAGGCAGAAGAGTTGGGTGTGCTGTCTGCTGCCACTGATCCTGGAACTCCAGGGACACTCTTCACCCTCAGCTTGGGTTTACTTCTCCTAGGACCCTTGTTTGTGTACTTGGTTCCTGAGGACAATGTTGGGTTGGTGGGGTTGCAGGTTGTGGTTGCTTTGGTCTGTGTACTTGGGGGTTCTGCTGGTTTTGCTGCATCAAATTTTGTATCCAACTTGCAGAAATTGAAATGAATTTCATAACCCTTAAGTGACTCGAGACTGAGTCCTTTTCTTTGCCATCTCACTCAGCATTTTTTGTCTCTTGAGTGTTTTCTAATTTCTTACTCAAGAATTATTGTTTCACTTTGATGCTTTTACAACCAAATGTTCCTATTGTAAAGCTACGATTCTAAGAGTTTGTTTAGATAAGTTTCTCCATGAATACCTCTAGAAAAGAAAAATAAGAAGGAAAATCAAAATGAACTTTTTCATAAGCTAAAACTAAGTAAATAACTTAAGCATAAGTTAAAAATGAGATCTTGAAGAAGCTAATAGGAGAGAACTTCTATAAATGAACTTATGTATAAACTAATTATTTCTACTTTTTTACTTTCTTAGAAGTGTTTCCAGAGAAGTTTATCCAAACATATCCTAAATTGGGACACAATCAAAGTTTCATATTGTTTGAACTACAAGAAGAACATGAGTTTAAACATACAAATATCTCCACTAGTAAGACCATTTGGTGATGAATAAAAGTAAAACTATGAGAACTTGGACTAAAAGTGAATAATATGGAGATGTATGTGTGAATTCTGGTGCACATCAGTAAATTGCAGTTGTGGTGTAATATTTGAATTTGTGGGAAAATTTAGCTGCAATTGTGGTTGTGATAGGGTTATAGTGAGTTGAAAAACCTTAGCGATGCGGTTATAATTGTGATTGTGTACTGCAATTTAAAACTATCGGTAAAACTAATGTCTCTATGGGAGGAAGGCTGTGTTAGGCTTTTGACAATCAAGGTAAAACTTGTTAATATCATAGCTGCAGAATTCTCTCAATAATCTTGCATACATCGTACTGAATTCATTGTATACTGCATTCCAGATTCTCCTTAAAAGAAGTTTTGTAATAATTAAAAGTGACAAATTGCATACCTACACGAACCACGTTCCTAATAACTACAATGTATATATTATACATGGATCACTCAAGACATTTAATCGAGTCAAATACCATTGTGGGAGACTGTACCTCAATTAGTGTGGTAAAACTAATGTTGCTCAATTTTTTTTAATTTATGAACATGATTCACGTAATATTTCAAACTGATAATTAAGGACTAATCTACATTCGTTGGACGTGGCTTCAAAGGCATTCCAACTGTGAAACTACTGGTGTTGTTATTACTAGTTGTGTTGCAATTACTAAATTTGTAGACAAAAGCAAGATATAAATACAACTGTGAAATGGTTGCAACTTGCAACTAGGAAGCCTGAATATGATATAGAACACATATCATACGACTAATTGGAAATTCAAAGGTTACAGTAGCTCATTTTTCATCAATAACAATCTGTCATCAACAGTGATAGGTGAAGTGGAGCTTTGTAGATCACGAAATGTGGTGCTGATGACAGATAAGTCCAAGTAATTGTTCCTATACACCGGGGAACAAAATCTAACTTGACACCAAACTTCATATAAGTATTATTTTCATTATGTCAGAAAGTTTTAAACATTTTGCTTCTGAATTGCAGTTCTCATGTATTTCAAACTCCTATTATAGAAAACTACCATAACAAATCATGTGTACCGGTTACAGAAGATCACGTGCTTAAGCAACTAATATCAAGAAATTTAAGTTAACACATCTACATATCACAAGGCATAGGCCAACGGCACACCACCATGATAAGGATCAAAGGACACACTTCAACAAGGACCATTAAAATGGCATTTTTCATATCACAAAATTATTTAAAAGAGGATCTAGAGCGTTACCACCGAACAATCCTTAATTCTTGTCTACATTTTTTTTATCTAATATAGAGAAAACCTTGGTTCCATAAATGCTAACTGTGAGAGAAGGAATCAGGGAGAGTTTCTCTCTATTAGACATACATTTTTGATGATATCATGTATCACAAAATTGTCTAATGAGACAATTTATTATATTTTACAAAGAGATAAATTTGTTTTAATCTCTCAAATTTAAAATTGATCTTTTCGGTACATGTAATTTTAAAAAACTACTTATTTTAGTCCTGCAACACTATTTGTAATATAAATTATAAAGACAGATTACATCAATTATGTACCATCAATTATGTTTAATGTGACGTTTACACTTATAACAACACTATTAAGTGAATTTTATGTGATAAATCAAGTAATATGTGAATTTTGTGTAACTAATTCACTAACAATGTTTGAATAGAGGAACTTAAATGAACTTTTTTTTTTATTACAAGAAATAAATTAATCAATTTTAAATTTAAAGAATAGAAAAACACATTTAGTTCATATCAAAGGGCTTCAAAAATTTCTAACACGAAAATAGATACTCATCTTTTAATCACAAATGAGAGTCCAATTGACTCATATTATAAGCTCAAATAATTAATATTTATCCATTAAAATACCATAAGTTTTGTTTTTATGATTAACTAGTAGGGTTAAGACTTCATACCTTTATATTTATTTAAAGGAGTTTAAAAATTACTAATATTTGTTGAATCAACAAGTGTTGTACCTATTCCTTGAACATCAAGATTTTGAATTTAGGTCTTGGATTTATAAGAATGGTTAATTTTTAATATTATTTTTTATTATTTATAAACTTAAGAATAAAATAATCCAAAAATAATGTACATATAAATAGAGAACCAATTTTATACATAGGTATAGATGTTAATAATTTAATTAGAAAATATTAATCCACAAAATTCCTTACATAATATGTAACAGGTTACAATGGGGTCATCGTTTTGACTTTTGACGATAACAAACTAACCTTTTTAAGTTTTTACCCCCTTGGACCCGCCATTAGCAAAGAAGCAAATACTTTTATCATAATGTACACAATTCTCCTAGATATTCCACTCAAATGCCCAAAAACATTGTGCTACGGCTTCATTTTACATTGACAACCCATGTTACTACGAATCATCAACTTAGGGTTCACTACTTTGGTCCAATACTTCTCAGCCCAACTTCATGGCTTGGAGGGTATTAAAGTCATTATAATGCCATTTATTCCATTATGATAATTGAAGCTTGGTATGAGGCCTCTCACATCATTAGAAAAATTAAGAAAAATATAAATTTATAAAACATACATTTACTCTATTGGTAAGTGACCTTTTAAGTGGTGATCAAAAATAATTTATGAGAATTTATACTCTAAATGGACAATATCATATATCAATATAAAGACATATATGAATATATGACATAACACAATATTATCTCCTGTTGATAAATATATTTCTACAACAAACAAATACAATACAACCCAAAACTATTATGCACTTGCAAGAGAGGTTACAACTTGTAAGATTAAAGGAAAAAAAATCAAAATTCATAAGCAATACTTATGCTTAATAACAGATTTTTCCAAATATAAAATATAGGACTATAATTGAATTTGTCAATGGACATAACGAAAGACTATGTACGAGAACAAAGGACATAACGAAAGAGTGACAAAATAATATCATGTCAAATTTTCGATGCTTGCTGCTTAATCTAATTGTCTACCTATATACAGCCACGGAGCCACCGATGTTCACGTTTATAGATTAATTCTCAGCAACTTGAGAAAGAAAAGTTTTGGTTCCGATATTGTAGATTAATATTGGATCAAACGAACTTTTTCTTATGTCTTTTATTTTTGGTGCAAGTAGGATGTAAGACGTGAACTGAATAATGAAAATCGGACAAAAGTATTGAATTCTCTTTCTCTTTAGATAGGTCTTGAAAAGAGAAAGAAAGTTTGGAATGCTAATAGACGTTTTTCATTGAATTCACTCGACCTGAAAGTATATCCAAGTAGTACTTTGACAACAGAATGATATAGGTTGTAGTTTGATAAATATCGTACATTGTTGTTCATCTTCATGAACCATGATTCATCTTTACAATCAATTGCGAACTACCAATTTTTAACCTGTATAATTCATCTGACCTTAAGGATTTATGTGCTTAATATGATAAGATTCATCGCAAGAAAATCTGTCCCCTTCATTCATAATACAATAATATAAATATATATTATAAGTCATCGTTACACACTTTCACGCAACGGGATTTTAGCTACTAAACATGCCATAATTAGGTTAAGAATAACAGACAACTTTTACTCTCTAATATCGAAGATATGATGTTATATTAACAATTATCATATCTCCTAAATACAATAACTAAGGGCAATAGCAATAAATAACTACATATAATGATAATATCTCAATATCCCCCTCAAGTTGGGGCATAAAGATCCTGAATGCCTAACTTGCGAAGGAGGAACTCAAATTGTGCTTTCTCCAAGACCTTTGTAAAAATGTCTGCTAATTGTACCGTGGTAGGAACATATGAGGGACAAATGAAGTTAATCGTCACTGCATTTAACAAAATGACAATCAGCTTCAATATGTTTCGTTCTTTCATGAAATATTGGATTTTGAGCTATATGTAATGCTGATTGACTATTACAATATAATCACATCCCTTTAGAATTACTAACTCCCAAATCACCAAGTAACTATTTGAGCCATTTTAACTCACATGTAGTCGCCATCATTGCGCGATATTCAGCCTTTGTAGAAGAACGAGATATGGTTGGTTGATTCTTAGTTTTCCAAGACATTGGAGAAAGACCAAGTAACACCACCCATCCAGTCAAAGAACGTCTTATAAGTGGGCAACTCACTCAATCCAAATCACACCATACCTCTAAATTTAGTTTACTATCAGATCGAAGTAGAATACCTTGCCCTAGATTTTTCTTCAAATATCTAACAACCCTTAAGGCTGCCTCCCAATGCTCTTCACGAGGTTGCTACATAAACTGAGACAAAATGTGTACAGAATAAGCAAGATCAAGTCTAGAAATTAATCACCACATAAGTCTTTGATAGGGTTCCGGATCTTCAAGAGGTGTACTAGAAGCCAATGCTAGCTTATGGTGTTGTTCCACTAGAAGATCCGTAGGCTTGACACCTAATAAACATGTGTCTTTAATGACTTCCAATGCATATTTTCATTGGCAAAGATAAATCCCCAGATTATGGGTTACCTCCAACCCCAA